GGCACTATACCAAGATATGATAGACATTATCCAGGGGTAATTTCGATCTCTCGCGCACAACTATTATTGAATAGACTTTGCCATAATTTATTAACGATCGTACATTATTGGTCGCACAGGGTTTGGAAAGAGTTTATTCGGCAACATCGCAAGGATTGCAAGGCACCACTTAATGTAGTTAAAATACCAGTAAGTTATACTATATACACTTCCCCACGTGTTTAATTACTATATCGTACTTCAATTTACGTGTGAGATGATGAGAATAATCTTCTTCTCGTGAAATGGTATTTATGGCAAAGAACTGTGTAATAACTTGTGTGGATACTACGTTTGTGAATTTATCATCATAGACATAAGAAGAACTCCTAAAGATGTCCTCGAGTACGTATATATCAATTTTTTATTTATTTTTAAATGAATATATATATATATATTAATACTTTTCCTTTTATTTCAAATGCAAGACTGAATGGTTGAAACGAAGGATCATGCAAAAAGACCATCTGAAAGCAGTTTAAGAGTCAATAGCTGGATTTCTTCTAGAAAAAGTGCTAAATCCCAACGGCGAGTTCTACTTTGATCCTAAGGAATAAATGATATAAATTAAATGTTTATTGATATCGTTATTTTCGAGAACAAGATTATGAAAGTGTTGTATATATACATATATATATAATATATAGGTTCATACTTTATTCGAATATAATAATGCTCGAGATGAGAATTAGATGTAATTATATGCGTGCGTGTATTTATATTAGCAACGTAGAATACGTACATAAAAACATATTATATATTAAACAAATATGTGTAACTGAACTGAAAACAAATTAAACAAAAAAAAAGAAAAAGGAAAGGAACCTTTAGTCCCGGTTGGGGTTACCAACCGGGACTAAAGGGTGCGGCCACGTTTGCTTGGCTAGAGGGCCTTTAGTCCCGGTTGGTAACACCAACCGGGACTAAAGGTCCCTCTTTAGTCCCAGCTCGATGACCCGGGACTAAATGACCTTTAGTCCCGGGATCGTTGTCCCGGCGCGGTAACCAGGACTAAAGGCCATTACCGCCCGGGATAATAAGTCCATTCTGTAGTAGTGTTTCAACTGACGACAGGTCTATTGAGAGTATCTTAGGCTCTTCAGCGCAGCTGTTTATCTTTGTTCCACCAAATGCTCAGTGCAAAATCTGATGAACTTGAATATTCAAAAGAGCACACTACAATCGGTTTTGGCTCTGTGAGAGCTTATTGTTAGATTGTTACTACCATCTCAGTTACACTTAAAGACAAGACAACGTAAACCATGTCTAAATATGCGATGGTACGATTACTACTAGTACTATTGGTTGCAACCAAATTCGACATCCGCTAGATGGTATAAACGTACCTGCTGGTCGTCACCTGTGGTGGATGGCTAAATAAAATTGCCAGCATGCATTAATAATCAGCTTTTTACAGTGGGCTAGTGGGTTGCACTGGCAAGGATGTTACAAATTATGAGGAGATCGGGTTATAGAATCCAACTACAACTCTACCTTATCCTGCCAAATACAACACAAAGTCCTAATATAACCACACTCATACAAATATTCAACACATACCTAACAAAGCATATAGTTGGTTTCGTTGCGGATTATTGCGGTGCCACTCAAGTGATGAGTCCATCAGGGCAGGGCTACTGGGGATATATGAGTCAACAAGGATATATGGATTTGTAGTATATACGCCAAGCAAGACTGACGTGTAAGGCAGGTTTGGAATGAGGAGAATTCTTTAATCTTCTATATGGAGACAGATTTTGCAGTTGCACCCAAGTCTTGATGTGTCTCTTGTCAATATTACATGAGGCCGAATAATTCTTTGAATTCTCCATGAACAATGAAATATTGCGGAGGTTCACATCACGTTGAACACAATCTCTAGTAATACCTACAAAATACTTCCCGGTGCTCCAAATTGTAAATACTGTTAGGTTTGTTGTAATTCAAACTTCTCATTTGACCATGTTTGTGGAAAAATACAGAAAGATTTAAGCATAAATCAAGATTCCTAACACAATAAAATATGTTTTAGAAATGCATTTGTTTGATATTATTGATGTCAATATATTTTTATAAAAACTTGATCAAAGCTAAAAAAGTTTGACGTAGGACAAAGCTAAAATGACATATAATTTGAAAAGGTGGAAGTATTTGCAAACTTTTTACATATACTAGAGATAGGGATGTTTATGATATATCCCTACATAAGCTTCCAATAGCAAACTTATTTAAGAAAATTCACTCTCTATTCCCAATTGTATATTATTTTTAATTTTGTTCTAAACCAATTTTTTTTTAATTTTGACCAAATTTATAGAAAAATATATTAACATCTATCGCATCAATTAGAAACGGAGGGGTAAAATTCATGAATACAAAAAATTCATGTGTTTTTACAAGGGGTTCACGAAAGGTATTGCATGCAAAAATATTTACACATTGATGAAAGTCAAACCTAGGGGTATGTTAAGTCCTCGGGTGGGAGGCTGCCAACCGACAGACCCCTTGACCGATCTCACGAGAACGCTCGGGGGCTCGGGGGCTATACCCATGGGGTATGCTCACGCGCACCCTCTAGAAGGAGTTAGGCCGAGCCCGAGCACGCCTACATCCACTGCTCGGGGGCAAGCCAGGGCCCAAGCTGTCGAGCGATAGCAGCCCGATCTTGACTCCTGCCCAGCATACACCTGAGCCAGTGCTCGGATAGCCAACTGGCGTCCCGAGCCATGGGCGACCTGCCGAGCATTCGAAGCGCGGCAGGTGCAAAGATTCCACAATGCCTCCCCGATCAACGGACGTGAAGCGCCGTCTGCTACCTCCTCGTTAGGGTCACGCAATCGGCATGACACAACAAGACAAGCGACTTCACCAAGTCCAGGGGCAGCAGGCTCCAAGGCCCACTCGTAAACCCCTCGACCAAGGAAGCCTCGGGAAGGCTCACCCGGGAGAGACCGAGCGACAACAGATAGCCCCTGACGGACAAGTGTTAGGCGGTGGCAGCGACGTCAGGTGGCGCCTGCATCTCTTTCGACTCCTAACTCGAAGACAAAGCCGAGGTGCATCCGCGCCACAACAGCACCCTCCTACACCCCACGTACGTAGACCATAGACCGAAAGTCAAACCAACTTGTACCTGACCACTCCTCGGAATATAAGGGGAGGGTCGGGTCCCAGAGAAAAAGATGGCGATAATATAGCTGAAGGATCGGCCAGACAGAGAGATCCAACCCAAGAAGCAGAGGAACAGGAGACTACCCCCCCACGACAACCTAGCTAGAGAGAGGACCAGTTCCTCACTCATCCGGAAGAACCTCACCGCCGACAAGCCGTAGGATAGCACTGAGCGATCCCCTACCAAACTCCCGTTCTTATCCATTGTAACCCCCAAATTTGGGTGCTCCTTAACATGAAGAACACCTCACTACTGGATGTAGGGCCTCGATATCCTGAACCAGGACGAACCGCTATATCTCCCTTGAGTTTTTGAGTACCCGAGCCACTAGAGACCCACACTCCGACTTCCGACGAACAACCACGATGCATGTCGCGGTTACAAACCCACGACACGTATCTCTACTACACATAGTATTTTAAGAGACAAGCACTTTATATCAATAGAGGCGGTCATCACGTCCTCCTCTGGTAAACTTTCATAGTTAATTGGCCATTTCTAGATCTGAGCGCAAAGAGGCGATCAACTTAAAATGCCGACCTCTCTACCAGTACATAGCACACTGATTTGTGATTATACATAGCACTACTGGAAACTCGAATATTTCTGTGTGTGCAAAAACCCACGGAAAAATTCGAATACCCACGGAAAAATATTTCAGAAAATAACACACAGAAATAGAATGACAAAAAATCGAATTTTTCTGTGGGTTCACCAAAACAATTTTTCTGTGGGTCTCACACGCACAGAAAAACATGTTTTTTTCTGTCGGTCTAGGTGAACTCACAGAAAAATTCATTTCGCCCAGATTAAAAATAATATTTCTATGTAGCCAGCCTCACAGGAAAAAAGAGTTAAACACATAAAAAAATTATTTTAAAACAGTAGCAACAGCATATTAAAATATATATTTTCTATACAGTAATTTCTGTGTATGACCAACAAGGTTTCATTCAAATAATACACAAATCAGTAGTTCATCATTAAGGATGGCAACGGGTCGGGTTTGGATCGGGTGGAGTCTCTGTGCACCCAAAACCAAAACCCGAAATCGAAACCCGAATCCGCCCCGAAAACCGATTCGGGTGGAAATCCATCACCAAAACCAAACCCGCGGATACCCGAAACCCGAACGGATACCCGAAACCCGAATGGATACCCGAAACCCGCGAATATATATACACATATTCACATGTATAAACAAGAGGCAACAAATAATAAATATTTTCATGAGTCAACTTTAAATAAATTTAATAATTTAAGTAAACAAATTATTATTAATATATTATAAAACATGAGTTTTAATTCCAAATGATTTATTTCGGATATCCATTGGATATCCACGGGTGGAAAACCAAACCCGAAACCGAACCCGATTGGTTTTGGTGCCCCGAACCCGAAAACCGTGGGTGAAAAACCATCCCCAAACCAGAACCCGCAGAACCCGAAACCCGCGGATATCCGCCCCAAACCCGATCCGTTGCCATCCTTATTCATCATGAATGGAGTCAACACTTATGTCAAAAATAGAATCAGTCTGATCTATCAGCACATATATCATATATACAGATATGATATCTGGTCATCTACATGTTCAACATGAATACTACAATGAATTCACAAATATGGATATCGAAAAAGAAACCAAACTATTTTTTCTTGTTCAACCAATACGGCGGACTGGGCACTGGGCGGCGTTGGCAGCGTGAGGGCGCAGGCCGCAGGGGCATCATGGTGTCGGGGGCTGAGGGGTGCCGCCGCTGGGATCGATTCCGTGGAAGGAGGCATCATGGTCGCGTCCTCGCGTGAGGCTCTCAAGGTTAGGGGAGGCAGCGGGGAAGGAGAAAGAAACTGTTTCACCTTCCACTCCATCTCTACCTGTTAAGCAAAGACATATTTTTAGTCAACAAAAAAACACTAGTATTGTAAGAAGTTTGCCTTTTTATTGAGCATAGTGGGGCAAATCAGAAAATACATGGGACAAAAGAAAAGGAGATGGAGGTGATGGTGCCTGGGAGAAGAAGTCGGATGAAGGCCATGGCAATTGGGAGCATCCCAGCAACCGGAATGGGCAGAGTTTGAATGTAGATCAGGACACGTGGGGAAATGACAAGGGCAAAAAGAATGCAGATGGTAACTGCCAATGGGAGGAGCAATCAAGCACTTACAAACGGAAGAAGACAAATGCTGATCATGATTCCTCCTATAACAATGTGATGCCACCATCAGGCAATGCTTGGAATGCTGGAGATGGAATTGGAAGACCAAATGCCAAGTCTAATGCAGGATCCAGTTGGGGTGAGAAAGATAAGATGGAGTCTGATGAGCATATAAAAGTCCCAAAAGAATCAGACACATGGAATACAGGGAAATCAAATGAAAGTCCATGGGATAACACTGATGCACTACAGGATTCCTAGGTTAACAGTGCAACTCGCAATAACAACGCTCAGGATGGTTCATGGGACAAAGTAGTAGCTATAAAGGATAGTGATTCACAGCAAGATTCATGGAGTAATGTGACAATCCAGAAGAATGATGCACAGAATGATTCATGGAGTAACTTGGCAGCTAACTTTGCTTGACCATTTTGCTTAGTGCAATTACATTGACAGCCACTGCATGCTAAAACCACGAAAGGAACAGAGTGAGCATATTTACTGGTTTAGAGAAATTAGCAAACGTGTGGACACAAACTGAAAGCAGCATTCATCCAGTGAACTACCTTTCAGTGATTCCAAGGGAGAACTTTGTACCAACTATCCAGCTAGAAATACAGGTGCAGTGAGATTAGCATACTATTTCAATGTAAATAGAAGAAAATAAATATCATAGGGCTCCAGTCCAAACACATGTTCAAGAAACACAAATATGAAATTTATGCACTGGCTCCATAGGTATGCCATGATCAAACTACCATAATCCTTTTAGTTATGCAGTTAGGCTGCTTGGACACCATAATGTACATGATGACTCTTATTTTGGATCAAAGTCAATGGTGAAATGCTGTTAAAAAATAACATAGCACAACATATCTAGAATCAGGTTAACAAAAAATGAACTGAATTAAAACCAATACAACACCAGTACAGCATAGGCATTTCCTTTCCCACCAAGACAAAATAATACTGAATAAGGGGCGCCCGCCGCGGTAGAAGAAGGGGGAGGGGAGGGCCGCCGCCACCACCACGCCCCGCTGCCGGCCACCACCACCACCACCGCAGCCACCGGCCAGATCCGGGAGAGGTAGGGCCGGATCCGGCCGGGTGAAGAAGGGGGAGGGGAGGGGCACCCGCCGGGGAAGAAGAAGAGGGAGGGAGGGCGCCACGGGGAAGAAGAAGGGGAGGGAGGGCGCCACGGGGAGAAGAAGGGGGAGGGGCGCCAGCAGGGCCACCGCGCCGAGGGCCTCCTGCCACCGTCCATGGCGCGTCCGTGCCGCCACGCCGCTGGGAAAGGAGGGGGCGCCGGATCTGGGGAGAGGGTGTCGGATCCGGAGAGGGGGCGGCGGATCCAGCGAGGGGGGCGCCGGGGAAGGAGGGGGCCACCGGTGAAAGAAGGGGCCGCCGTGGAAGGAGGGGGCGCCAGGAAAGGAGGGGCGGCGGATCCAAATGAGGGGGCCGCCACGGGAAGGAGGGGCCACCGGGGAAAGGAGGCGCGGCCGAGAGGAGGAGAGGGAGGCGGCAATGGGGGGGAGGTGCTGGGGGGGCGGGAGGAGAGAGGCCAGGCGCCAGGGGCCGTGGAGGAGAGGGAAGAGGGGCGCCAAGGTGTTTGGGGCGGCGGTGGTGGGTTAGGGTTAGGTATTTATTTTATTAACAACATTTTTGTGTGCGTGCATATACTTTTTCTGTGCGTTCTCTAAGAACCGACAGAATAAATTGCATTTTTCTGTGAGTGCTTATTTTTTCGTGTGTCTATTGTCACGCACAGAAAAATTATACAATTATTCTGTGGGTTTTCGTATTTTTCTATCGAGATATTTTGGAACCGACAGAATAATCGTAATTTTTCTGTGCGTGCCAAAAAAATGCATAGAAAAATTCATCACCCACAGAAGTATTCGAGTTTCCAGTAGTGTAGGATGCCATCTTATTATACCAACATTTTGTAATCTTATATTAAATATTTTGGCTACTAAATGAACTCAATGTAAAAAAGTTTAAACAACAAAGTTTTAAATCTTGTAAAGCGCTACAACATTGGTATAGGATGTGTCTCCATCGGAGATTGTTTGAAAAACACAAAAAAATTGAATCTTAAAATATGTGAACTTATAACAAAGATTTGAGATACTAAGAAACTTCAAATAAAAAGCTTATCAATAGCAAACATGTAGATCATTTCGTGCACTACAACTTTGGCATTAACTATATGAACATTCAAGGTCTTTAAGAATTTCAAATTTTGAATTTCAAAATCTTTGAACTTTGGACTCATGTTTGGGACTGTAAATGATTTGAAATAAAAAACTTTACAACTACAGAGTTGCAGATTCTGTTAAGAACTACAACTTCGGTATAGACCGTCTCAACATCCGAGGTTTCAAAACTTTAAATTTCAAAATCTATAAACATAAAGCAATGTTTTGGAACTCCAAACCTTCTCAGCTACAAAGTTGTAGATTTGGTATAATGTTTATGTTCATCCGAGTGTTTATGAACAAGCCATTGCTTACTTTTGGTTAAAAACATTTTTAGAAACGGGCATCTTAGGATGTCTGCCTCTGAAATTGGTTTCTAGAGATGGATGCTTAGAATGTCTTTCTCTGTTATTATCAATTTTGATAGGTTGTCATGTCTATGAAAATCGATTTATAGAGATGGACATCCTAAGACAACAACCTATGTTAATCGATGATTAATAGAGGCGGCCACCTTAGGATGTCTGTATCTGTAAATGATTCTCAGGGGTGACATTTTCCTAGACACCACCTGGCCGTGGTGTCTTGATGTGTCCGCCTCCATTAATTAGCTGTCTCCTAAAATTGTTTTTGCAGTAGTATATATTGTTGCTTATTTCAGTGAAGCACCTTCCAAAATATTTTTTCCATAATGGCCAACATCTTTTTTTTAAAAAAATTTCAGAAAAGATATGTTGTTTAAAAGGTTGGCCAACATCCGATATATAGATATCTAGTATTTCCAAAATATCAAGTATTAATATTGGCTGTGGGAGATGCAACGTAGGACAAAGCGTGCACGACTACTTAGTACTACCGACGTGGAAGGGACGACGCACGCACGTACGGAAAGTGACATACTCTATATAACTTTTTTTTGTGAAAAAGGAGAGAGTTTTCATTAAGGATGAACCGAGTTACATTTCTGAGCTAGAACCTTGCTCAATACAAAAGGGAAAACGAGAATGCCAAATAGCACTATGCTGTAGTCACCTACCCAGTTGCGCCAGTGCGTGCGCTACCTGGTTTTGGTCTCTCCTAATATGTTTGAAGGTCACCCTTGGCAGTCGGGCGGCCGCCTTTGTCGCCTCCTGGATTGTGAAGGTAGCGAGTGCACGCTATAACCCATATACTACGTCGCGAGTGCACGCTGACTGGCTGAGACGACACATCGCACATGCCCGTGAGGACTTGGTCGAAAACTAGTTAAGTTTCACGCTCGCCCTGCGTCGTACGTATATATATGTGCTGGCAACAGTTGTCCGAGATGGACTCGTCGTCGTCGTACGTCCAAGGAACTTGGACTACATAGTATAGCTGCCAGGTTGGGCAGGGCATTTAGTGTGACGGGTCAACAGCGAACGCTGATAGCTAAATGGTTCGGCACGTCGATGGTTTAAAAAAGTCTATATTTTTTCTCATGCTGACTTATCCCTTGTTCTATTCATTCACTTTATTAGCAACGAAGTATATCTCGTGGTTGCGAATATAATATAATCGAGGGTCAGATTCTCCTTAGTTCATGTTCTTAACTTGAGACGGGAGAGCTGTGCATCCGTGAGTATATATGATCATATATAGCAGGTTTGTGTTTGTGTGTGGATCCATATGATTGTACTCTTCCATGCGCATTTTAAATTTCAATCAGGATTCCATAAATACATTTTAAACATCTAGATTTTGAAATTCAAAAAATTTAATTTTTAAATGATCTCAGATGAATATTGGCCTAAACCAAAGTTGTAGTTCACTATTAGATTTAAAAAATTTGTGGTTCAAATCACTACCACTGGAATTATTTGCAGCTACTTGTCAGTTTCTACAAATTAATAATGATTTGTAGCGGTGGCTTTGTAGGTGGCAAAAAATACAATCGTTGCTACAATCGCTATTCAAAAAACATAAATCGAGCCTCCTATCAAGAAAAAAAATTATTTGGGAGGCCCAACCAAAAAGCTTCATAGTCACAACTCATACTGTTGTTCACACAAAACATGCCAGTGTGCGCATGACCTCACGACCGCAGGCCTCGCACATACCTTCTCTAACCTAAATGAATTCAAATTAAAAGATCTGACCTACAAGATGCAAATATTGTCAAGTACTACAACTTTGGTTTTGGTCATTTATCAGTCTGAGGTCATTTGAAAATTTTAAATTTTAAAATATGAGAAATTCAAATAGAATTGCCCATGGATAAATGGTTTCAAATGAAAAAGTTGTCAAGTACAAAATTCTATAACTCGTTGAGATCTACAACTTTGTTTTTGGTCGTTTCCTGTCCGAGATTGTTTCAAAATTCAAATTTAATATGTGACAAGTTCAAACTAAATTTTGGGACTATAGAGTATTTATGATAAGAAAGTTATGAACTACAATGTTTTAGATCTTTTCAAGATCTATAACTCTAGTTTTAATAATTTATCCATCTCAGGACATTTAAGAATTCGAATATTTCCAATATTAAAAATGAGAACTTGAAACACAATTTGTGGCATTTAAATGATTTAAGGCTTTAATATATATTTTGTCTTCATCCAGCTTAGTTATAAATTTTACAATGTTGCATCTATTTTTACAGACGGCTCTAGATCTTGCAGTCACTAGAAAAAAATTTACAGACAGCTCTAGATTCAGTCGACTCTTAAAACCAATTTCTAGATCCAGATGTTTAGACAGAAAATATCACTCAGAGCAGAGGATCGATCTCTCTGTGCATAGACAAATAAATGCAAGGGCGTGCTAGTGTATTAAAATCACAAAATAAATAAACAAGAGGGAGCACACTTTATTCATATTTAATGAAAATACGAATATAGGTCCATCGTACAAATGCGCTCTGTAGCCTACTGACGGCGATCTGACTTGGGCGACGCGGTCTTCTCGGTTCCGAGGGCCTCAGAAGGCTCGTGGTTAATTACGTCCACGAGTCGACTCAGGGACCACCTCCAATTAAGCCGTCCTCGCTTCATATCCCCATGCATGTGTAGGTGTAGGTGTGGCTGACGTCGGCGTGATCCGTGG